GCTGAAGGAGAGTGAGAAAACAAGGAGGATGGCAGGGGAGGGGAGTGTGCACATCTTGGCCCATGCTGTAACTGCTTGTGATTCCAGTAGAACCCCATTCTCTCTGGACTTGGACAGAGTCCACTTCTGTGACCCATTTTCACTGAGCGATTCACCCATTGACCCTTCCTCCTCTAGGACTCTGTTTTTTGGTGCTTCACACTGTCTTGAGCCATTGCTGACTTTAATATGTTTCAGCTGGGTAGTGTAGGAACATAACGAAACATCTACTGCTGAAGTGACAAAGGAAGCCTGATAATCTATCGCCACTTCAGGCCCAAGAAGTTAACCTGACAACAGATAAACCATGGGCCAAGAAAACATAACGAAGATGGCAAGAAGCAATTCCATGATAAGATTTTTTTTTATCTACATGGTTTTTACTTAAACCAAGCTGAGTGCTCAACAAGGGTTGATCTAAGGTTTTGTTTTTTAAACAAAAAGTACATGACCTGATGGTATTTTCTATACAAGCTGAAGACAGAAGTGGCTGTGGTATGCTTGTCTTCCTCAAAAATGGAAACTTCATCAAAATATTCTCAAACAGTGAGACAGTCTTGCAACATACAGACCAACAGACCATGCTTCGTATCTCAGCTCTGCCATCTATTAGCTGTGTAACCTCAAGCAAGTCACTTAACCTCTCTGTGCCAACCCTCATCTGTAAGATGGAAATATTAAGTGTCTATCCACCTTGTTTAAGGATTAAATGAGATAATATATGATAGGGTCTTGGCACAGTCCATGGCATATACAGGTGCTCAATAACTGTTAGCTATTGTAATAGCTAACCCAACACCAACATTGCTGTTTCGTTCTCCATATGATTTTCTTACTAGTTCTCAAGTCACCGCAATTTATTTATTTTTAACTTTTAGATTGTTCTCCTAGTTCATGGAGGATGGTGTACCTGAGAACCACAGTAGAGAAAACCTAAGGATGTAAATATTGCCCTCACACCATAGATTCCACTCAAATGTACAAGGCTTTTCTGTGCTTGGAAGGATCTGTCACCAGTAGCCAGGCAGGTATCTGTTAGTAGATTTATAGTCACCTTTGAGCCACTTGCATTACAAAGGAATGACATGAACCGCCAGGCTAGAAGTAAAGATCCCAGGGGACTGATTCCAGCCAAGAGAAGAGAGTTCTGATTTAGGCTAATATTTTTGGAGAAATTCCTTAGACAAAACTAAGCACTGTGCTACTTATTGCAAAGTATACTGTTGACTCACCACTATTAGTATGACTAAATATTGAGACCAATTTCTGTAAGTCTTACACCGAAGTCCATTTTACTTCTTTATAGTGATATTTGTACACCTCCCTTTCTCCTGTTCCCTTTCTTCTCTCCATTTTTTCCACTGGTTTTGTCATTTTTACCCACTGCATTATTTAGCGTTTTTCACTCTGGGTAAAGGTCAGCACACTTTGATTTAAGGTAGATATTCAAAGGCAGTGTGCCAACCCTGTGAAGGGTAACTGGGAGTGGATGAGCCTCAGGTACTTGGAGAGGAGTTTATGAAATGACTGATCAAGTAAGCTTAGTACAGCCCTCATGGGTGGAACACAGGTTAACTACAGAGGAGAGTGAGCTTATGGTTGAAGTACACTAACCATCTGTTGTCTCGTGCCCTTTGCCTTTGTTTCCAAAGCAAAAAGCCCTCTTAGATTTGAGGGGAGCCATGAGCCGGTTCCTGAATGTGTTACGAAGCTGGCTGGTTATGGTGTCCATCATCGCCATGGGGAACACGCTACAGAGCTTCCGAGACCACACCTTTCTCTATGAAAAGCTCTACACTGGCAAGCCAGACCTCGGTAAGAAAGCAAAGACCTGCATCCTTTGTGGGAGTGGCTTAAACTGTGGTTCCCACGTCTGGCTATACATTAGAATAACCTAGAAAAACTAAAATCAAACAAAGCACAGGTGGCCATTTCCCTCTCCAGACCTACTTACTGAATCTTTCACCCCCCCCCTCCCCGGGTGGGGCCCAGGAGTCTTTTTTAAAAACTTCCCAGGTGAATCTGATGCTGCCTAATCTAGCCTTAGGCAGCCAACAGAGTAAGAGACGTGGTGGATAGCACTTGGTCCTTTTTTCCCCCAAGCTTCTCTGAATACCTTTTCATTCATTTCACACTGCCCTAGGCAGCTAGTCTGTACAAAAAGCATTACAAGGGCAAGTGAGGAAACAGTTCCTTGGTGATTCTGTGGTGCCCGACTAGAAAACCATAAAGAAGCTTTTCATATTAGCTCAGCCCCCTTTCAGAAATCAGATCGTGGCGCACATGGTTTATACCCTACGTTGCAGATGGAGAATTACTAATCTAAGGTCTTCTCAAACCGTGACATAGACCTGAGAAGATATCCCAAATCCCTCCAAGGTGGTCTCCCAAATTGAACTTCCGCGGGCACATGGTGGCCTCTCCCAGTGTCCTGAGCCTCTCTGCTGAGAGTGTCTGCACATTTCAGCTTGCGCTTTGTTGCACTGATGTGTGGGGAGGCTTGAGCTGCAGCACCATTTCACAGTAGCTGACAATTCTGTGTCACATTTATAGCTAACCCAGATTCAGGCTCTGACCTAACTCATTTTTCTGTAATATCTGAGTATAAAATGAAACTAAGTAGGCTAAGGCTTACTTTGAACAAAGCTCAAATACAATGGGTGTAAAGAACCTGGAAAAGTGGGCAGGATAGTTCCACTTTTCACCCTGCAGTGCAGTTCTCAGATGGTCCAGGAACCCTGTATAGATTCACAGGGTTTAAACGTTGTCTGGTCTAGCCCTTTGAATTTAAAGTTGACACAGAGAAGCCCAGGGGTAGAAAATGCCTCCTCCCTCATGACCTGGGGGCTGTCCTGGTACTTTTCTGATCATAGCAGGATCCCGGAGCATCCCATAGAATTTCACCTGATGCCTAATTTAGTTAGGGTTGGTGAGATATTTCACTTTTATATCTCACTCACTAGAGAAATTTCCTGCCTTTTCATCAGAAGAGCTATCAAAATGCTTTATAAAGAATGTTGCCCTCCAGGGCTAACAGTTAGATATTTGTTTGGTATATGGAATTTTTTCTCACTACCATCTAAAGGTCTTCAAGGTTGTGAATTTGGTATTGCTGTCTGGTTTTCCAAAGGCTGAAAAATCCTTAAAGCAAAATCCTGAAAGACCTTTCAGTTGTCAGTGTTGTCCTTTAAAATTTCTCTTGCTCAGTAGACCAGCAAAGAAAGTATCTTTGCTTTCACCGTTTTGGTATTCCCCCTCCTCACTACTGGATGCCTTAGATCAATGCCGGTACATTAATATCACCAAAGCCAGGGAGGTTTTAGAAAATACCAGGTGGGCCCTGGGCCCACCTCCAGAGTGTATCATTTAACTGTTCTGGTACCCAGGTCTTGGTAGTTTTATAAAATGTCTTCAATTGATTCTAATAAATGTCCAGGGTCAAGAAGCACTGTTATGATGGAGTGTGATCCACACTCAGGACAATACAGCAGCGCCAGAATGAAGCTAGCAAAAGCAGAGTGGCCCCAGCAAATGCCAAAGAAACAGTGCTTTGTTCCCTTCCCACATGCACAGGAAACCAGCCTGGTTAGGGCTTCGTTCACATAAGATTCAGCAGACCCAGGGACTTGGGTCTCTTAAAGACCAAGTGTGGGCATCTAGATGGAGCCCAGTATTTCTGAGTTATCTCCTGTATCAGCCTTGAAAGACTGCTGACCTCCTAGGCATCCGGTATTGACAGAACCACTCTCCACCACGTTCCCCCAAACCTGTCGGGATCCAGACTCACTGGGCTTCGCCAACACCAGAGCGGCTTCCAGGGCAGAGCCGTAAACTACTGCAACCAGGAGTTACTGCCTAAGTGGGCTGTCTGTTGGGCTCCTACTCTTGGAACTCGCCCACCCAGCTGTAGGCGTTTGAAGTTCCCATGTGCAGCACCAGAGCCTCCTCTGTGCCCAGCCAAGGGGAGTTCAGGCCTAGCGCCCTGCCCCCTTCAGTGAAGTAGGAAGAGTTTGGAGGGAACCCTGACCCTCCCTTCTCAACACTCTTGCTTTTTTCTGCTGCACAGTGAATGGCCTCCAAGCTCGGACCTTTGGAATCTGGACGCTACTCTCATCAGTGATTCGCTGCCTCTGCGCCATCGACATTCACAACAAGATGTACGTAAG